TGTATTACAAAAAGTGTAAATTGAATACACTTACCCATATATAAATGTCACTTAAAGTATATTTCTCATTAATATATGCTAGATATATTAATGAAATATTTCTCATTAATATATTCTAAATAAAAAGGTGGGTGGCTCTTGTTTTAAAGTCTGCTGAAAAGGTTATGAAAGTACACCGCTATTGATTTTTACATGGTATGTATTTTTGCTAATATATTCAAATGTATTGAAAATCTAAATATATAATAAATACATAAAATTTACAACAACCATTACTATATAAAAATAACTACAGAGGGTAAGGATCTAAGAAAACAATAAGAAATGAAATGAGTTAATTTAAAAATAGAAAGAAAAAAAGATAAATTTCACAACCACAAGAAATAGCCTTATAGTGTGAATAATGTTCAAAACCATATAACCACACGCCTGTGTCTCTGCAATAGACTGAGAGACTAACTGTTTAACTCTAGCAACATTATTAATGCATCAAAACATATTATTTTTGTAACATTTTTATTGAGACTTTTAAAAACCAAACTTTGAATCAGATGTAATATTACATTTCTAACTTTATCTGAATGGATCAGTTTTACAGTAAAATTTGCTCTTTGAAGGTTGGTGCCATCTACTAAGATAGCCTTCAGTTTCGTCCCGAATGAACTATAGAATATCTAATATTTAAAATATAATAAAAGTGCATCCCTGAAAACACATTTTCACCACTCCTTCAGAATCTCATGGCAATGTTTTCAACTAAACTTTGGCTGTGTTCCTCTTTTGTCTTGACAGGATCCCATTCAGTTTATTTTATCTCAATCAACATTCCACTGAGATATCTGAGCCATTATCACTGAGGAAATTAGTATAATTTCCTCAGAAGGTCTCAGCAGTCTGTTCAGTCTCAGTCCCACTTTTTTTGCTTGGCAGCGTTGGTCAGGATGTGTCGTTTCAAGATAATTCAAATTTTGCTGCAGTAGCACAGTCTCACAGCTACAGAGAAACTCTGTCTTTAGTTTGAGTACACTTAAACAGTGGTAAAAAGTTTGGTTTATTAAGAAATGCATGTTTATATCACATGCGCCACATTCATTTGCACATAATAAAATCCTTATAATCTAATTTACAATTTTCTTCATATACGCTCTGTTTTTAAGTCAGTCACCATTTCCAGGAACCTTGAAATAGTAATCCACAACTTCTGTTCCCCAGAAAGAGAAACAGGCCATTCAAGAAAGACAAATGTGTGTGTATGGGATGAAAAAATTACTTAGCCAAACCTGCCCATATCTATAGTCAGAACAAAATGTAAAAAAATTTAAACAACTGGAACAATAAGAAACAAGTTTTGGCTAAGGACCTGTTTAGCTTGATTTCTACATAGTATATGTTTTCTCTACTGCAGCATACTCACAGTGAGTTAGCAGGTAGGGTCGGGAACAGATTCAAACATCAGTCAGAGAACTGCAGCGAAGAATGGGAGACTGGGATCACCAAATCTCCATAATAAGTGCCCACATCTACATGCCAACTGGTTGATTTGGAGGCAAGTAAGAAAGTATTTATATCTTTCCATTACAAGTATGTAGACTTCTCTAAATGCTATAAACCTTTTACATGAGCTGTGATTTTTGGTGTTTTTTTTTTTTTTTGGGCAAAAACAATCCACTCCTGGTGGAAAAAAGAAAATATGTAGGGAAAAATACCTCACACCCACTTTTAGGTACGGTAGAGGATGATGATGTGTGCCTGTTTTTCTTGTTGTCATGATATTAAAGTGTCTGTGTTTAGTTTTGTCTGGTTTGTTCTTATGCTTAGAGGGATTTATGTGTTTTGTTTTGTTTTTTAGTGAGGTATTATTTTCTGATTTTATTTATTTATTTATTTCATTTTCTTTAATCAAAGTTAGAAATTCACATACAATATAGTGTCATCTAAATGACATTCATTGGCATTTATATTACAATGAATGTCATTTAGGTTTGGAAAGCCCAGACGGCGATGTCATGACTTTGAAATCTTCTGACTGGGAAACTGGAGACTCACCCGTGGATGTGCCAAAAGAGTTCATTGAAATATTTTTGAAGTTTTTGTGATGTTATTCTAAGTAGCAGTTCCCTTACCTGTTGAAGAAGACGTCATGTCACTTTGAGCTTGTTGGAATGTAAAACAATCTTCTTAGTGATGGAAGGCTAACAAGCTAGTCAGATGTAGGCCTTTTCACTGACTTTAAATTTGAAACAACTTACTCTGAAACCGTTCATATCAGTGAAACAGAGTGGTGTGTAAGGGAGTAGTAAAAGTCTGACAAAATGACAATGTCACAAGACAGCTGTTACAATTTGTGCTAACAGTTTTCTTGTTCCCCTGTTAAGCTAGCGCTAGTTTAGCCTTTTGGCTTTATCAGTCCAGATCAGCTGGGACTCAATCCAACCTATCTCCATCAAAAATGGATAAAACTTGTAGCTATTTCGTCAGAGTGTTGGTATGTACATGTGCTTTCCTGCTCTCATAGTTTTTGTTGAAAAATGATCACTATCTTGGCCAATCAGCTGACTGATAGAAGTATGTGTTAGCTTTCCACCATTCGGTGTATTCGCCTTTCCAACGTGACATGACATCTTTATACTCCTGCAGGTTAAGGAAATAGTTACCACTAATAACTTCCAAATAAACCCTTTAAGCAACACCTTAAACACTGCTTCCTTGTTTGACATCATGAAAAAAAAATCTACAGAAACCAACACTGGCGCAAGTCTGGTTCATCCTTGGAGACAGAGCAACACGTGAAGGGGACACGTTCACCTACAAAGACAATTGCATGCAAGTTGCATGCAATTGCATCCTGAAAAGTAAAATAGATGCTAATAATGATGAGAGAAAATCAAATTTTTTGTTTAAATTAGTTTTTTTATTTGTAATGTCAAGAACAGCGATTTTTTTTAAATCGCTGAAATCTTCTGACTGGGAAACTGGAGACTCACCCGTGGATGTGCCAAAAGAGTACTGTCCTGTTCAGGAACATTCCTGTTCCTGAACAGGAATGTTCAGTCATTATGCTTTCCAGGAAGGAGACTTGTTCTAACTGTTTGGTGCAAAAATCAGTCCTGCAACAGCAAGAGCTTGTGAAGGTGAAGGCTGAGAAGGGTCAGAAAGTGTCATTATCCACAGTGGAACATAAGTGTAGTGACATGCACTGATAGGCCACTCAGAGATGAAGAAGCCATTAATCTAAAAGCAAGATAAAAACAAATTACAGCTTGAAAATGCTAATGCAAGGCTGGGAAACAATACCAACTGAAAAATAGTGCTTTTAGCATTATGTTTTGGGATTTTCTTTTGCTGCAGAAGGGACTGGTGTCATTAGAAGAGAACATTTTTTGGAAAAGGAAGTGGAAGCGTGGCTAGAAAAAAGTTGCTTCAATGGACATTTGCCTTTATTACGCCAATAAATTAGCTTAAACATTGCAAAAGGACAACACAGTCAATGTTTCGGAGTGGCCATTCCCTCTGATCTCAGTCATATGGAAAATATGTGGACACAGCTGAAAAGTTATGTGTTAGCAGGTGGTCTGTAAACTTCACTCACTTACACCGGGTCTGTCAGGAGTAGTGGACCAGAATTTCAGCAATTTCATGGAAACAGAAGATTTGACTCAAGTCATACAGCTAAAAGGCAGTTCTACTGAAAACTAAGGAAATATATACTTTAAAATTCTCTCACTCATTTTTATAATTAGCCTAAAACAGAAAGAGATTTAGACTGAGTTTATGCGAGACGATAAGAAATAAGGGTGTGCCTCTTTGTGCAGTGTTGGTAAAGATCTGGTTTCAGCTGCACACTGGCACAGTTTCCACAGTTTTGTCAGATCCCAACATGACCTGCTTCGTGCCTCGCCGTTCGGGTCCGTCTTGTGCTCAGTTTTGTTTGCACATTAAGTTCGTTCCTCTCATTCTCCATTAAAATTCCCTTTCAGAATGACCCTGCCTGACTCGTGTCTGCAGCAACAACAACATCTTGTGCACTTGTTAGAGCTCACACACTCTCGCGTTTCAAAAAGATGTAAACAAAAACGTGTCGGTCTCTGGCAGAAAACTGAAAAGGATTTGGAAGCATAAAACCAACTCTCTTTCTACTATAACCCAACTCTCTAAGAATGCCAGATGAATAAATCTAAAAAAGAAAAAAAACCCTCATTTATTCCTTTATGCTTTACTTATGATCTAAATATAAACAGCCTTCATCTCACAAAGGTTATGTTTATTATCATGGGCTGATTCTGCCCAGCCAGGTAAGATAAAGTGCTGATAAGTTCTACATCTGTGATGCAGCAGAGAGGGAAATGCTGCCACGTTTTATTGCAGTTTATAATGTTTTTCACTGCTCTCAGTTGTGATGACTCTCAAATAAATACCCATAAAGCCTCAGTGCTGACACAGATGCAGAAAAAGGAGGGCAGCTGTTCTTCAGGCTCTATAATACTGAATTTCGTACGACAACAGGGCAAGCGGTTTAGTTTAATAGTGCCATTTGAAACCATTAATGACTTTAATTAATTCATCATCTTTTATATTGGCAACACGTACAACTGCATTTTCATTTGTGCTAATGTGATCAAAAATTTGATTTGGATTTTTTTTTTTGTTTTGTTTGACTCATTTCTGCAGACGAGAATAAAGTTTGCAGAATAAAGTTTGCTTTCTGCAGTTATTTGTTTTTAACTGGTTCTCAGTAGCCTTGGTCCAGGCTGTTTGTGTTAGCAGAAACTGTCAGGTGTGTTTACACTGGCCTTTCTACATGTGTGCTTAGGTTACTTTTTTGGGTAAAAGCTGCCAAATGCACTTTCAGCTTGAAGAGTTTCACAACACTTAAAAACAACTGAACGGTGGAGCTCAATGTGAGGAATCCTGTGGTAGAATAGATTGTGTTTTAGTTAATTTACTTACATGGGGTATATAACAGAAGCTGATTGAGCCCACTTCTCTCCAAGGGGAAAGCCCACCAGGAGATCTGCCTTCATCCCCGGATTAGATGTGACATTTAGGAGTCACTTTCTAGTCATTCTTGTAGGAAACTAAGGGCAGGCGATGGTAAAACATATTTAGAGTTTTATCTAGACATGATCCGATTGTTAAATACTGCGTCCTTGTCTGATTATCTGGCCTCTTCCAATCACGTGCTCACTTTGTAGCAGGAAGAGTTATAAAGACGGGGGGAGATATCAAAGGTGGGTACATAGACGATGAGGGTTCATCACTCTAAGAGCAACGCATGAATCATAATTGATTTTGTTAAAGAGTAGAAGGGCGAACCTGTTGTGCTAATCCGCGACTGAGCTAAATTTAGCTGTTCCCACCGGCCACAGAAACACGAGAAACACACGTGACAACCGGCCCTGATAAATTTAGAGGGAGGTTCAGAGAAGCTAACGTCACCAGATGTGTAAACAGCATGCGTCTTACAGGAGACGTCTGAGGATCATATCCACCTGGACGTTGTTTGAGGAGTAAGTTTCATTTTCTTTTCTTAAATGCATTCATGCCTTTGCCACTGATTAAAAACTGGAGTACAACTCACTCGGCCTCTAAAACTGATGGTCTATTTTCAATGCCGTTACGTTTTTCTGCGGACATGTTCACTGATTAAATTAAGAAGCTGAGCGAAAGGCTCCCTCTAGTGTTCCCAGCCGGTACACTTTACTTTAGTCTTCAATCTGTTTCTACTGAAGTTCAATCAGTGGGCTTTTATAAAAGGTGAACAGAGTCATGACAGAGTACCAAACTGAGTGACCAATCATAACATGTGATTTAATTTGCAAAAACAACAACAATATTAAACACCAGACTGAAAATATCAATATTTTCTGAGAGCCATTTCTGGGCTTTTATAGATTAAATAAAAATTAACATGTCTGAACCAGAGATTAGTTAGAGAGAAGAAAGACATTCCTAAATATATATATTTTTTTCACAACAGAAAACTTCCTGAACCGATGCCTATTGGTAACATTTATAAGTTGGAACAGTGCAAATAACTTCCAGGGTCAATAGATACAATTTACTGTATAATCATGTCTTCCTGTATGATACTATTTCTCCCATGCTCTTATTTTTAAGGTCCTTATAATCTTCCTTTACTCGCAGTGACCTTGCAGTACAAAATTAACAGTAATCTCCAGGAATGTCACCTCTTAAATTAACTAAACGTTGCAGCAATTTTTTTTTCACACTCTTTGGCATTTTATGTACTCTCTGTAGTCTCAGGAACGAAGTTAGGTCTATGAAGCTGAGGATAAATGAAAAACTTCAGATTGCTACCACTAGGTGGCAATGTAGGCGTGTGCATATTTGCGTAGCTTTGCCATTTGTCTGCTGTCATCGTTTAAGGTTCACGTTATTAAAGCTACTTTTATTAAACGCAGCCTATCCACACGGACAAACTGGGAATTTTAGAACTAAATAATTGTTATATGTTGTTAAATTATTGCTTAGTTTCTCTAAAAATTTAACTATGGACAACCACTGCACTGCAGTCAGCAGATAGGCCCTTCCAAAGGTTCTCCTTTAATTACCTGCTGGCTAGATTTTATAGTTGATTCATTACAATCAAATGTAGCCTTGATGGTACACTAATAACACAAATCTGTTGGAGGAAGATTAAAAAGAAAATCTGCATTAATCTGTTTCAGGAAGCCTGCATGCCCTTAAACTGGTACTCTACTGAAGCACATCTTGATGTCCAAAACTTTCAAGGTCTTTTGTGTTAAACTAAATTTCTGGGATGATTTTGTCCTGACAGGCTAAATGTTATTTCACCACACTGTGAGACATTTTCCATCAAGGTCTTTAGAGTATGTAATGTGCCAGAGCTGGAATTTTGGCATCTTTTTACAATTTTATTTGAATCTCACGTAGTCACATTCTTGAAACCACCATCTTCTGCTGCAGCAGAAAAAAATCAGTTTGATCCAGCAAGCCAAGCAATTTAATATTATCCTTAATCCCTTGTTACTCAATACATAACTTACTTCATTTTTGAAGGTGCATCATTGGGATTTTCTGGGTGTGCATCAATGTTTCTGTTAAACCAAATAAATGAACTGAGAATAGTCTATTTAAATTAAATATCCACCTATAATCAGGATAAATCAGTACTCTTCTAGCACAGTTATGCATTAATTTTTCTAAACTCTAGTGATGTAAATGAGTAATTGGCAGTAAAATGTTGCCAGCAAAGCTGATGTTTATTCCAGTTTAATCAGACTGACTGTAGCTGATGGCATCGACAAAAGGTGCTTATTTCTGAATTTAAAGTCTCATCCTGCTTATTTGACCTTTACTTAAGTTTATGTTTTACAAATAAAACAAACTTTTTTTCAGGATTAAAAAATATATTCTGGGAGGGTGAGGTTTTGACTCATTTCATGTCTTAAAATCTAAATCCGTTGTTTGCAGAGTCTTTAGTTTCTGGTCTGTATATTAGCAGGATTACACAGATGGATTAGCTTCAAAATAACTCCAGAGTTATTAAAAGGTTTTTGTTTGATGTCATCTTGGAAGAATAAGAAACAAACCTAAATAAACAAATGAAAAAAAAAAAAGAATCAAGTCCACTAGGATTATAATTTTCACATGCTACGCTTATGTTAATCCTCTTCAACATAACTTTTTAATCTTCTCTAAAGTGACATAAGGAAGCTGACAGAAAGCAAGAGACGGGATAACGTTCGCATTTCAAACTTCTGCTAAATCCTCTGCATAAATTAAAACATCCCGTGTCAATCCTGCATCTGATTTATCGTCTCCCCTCTTGGGCTCTTTATACAGTCCGGCCAGTTTGCTGAAGCAACAGCATTGCAGCCAGGTTGTCATGGTGTCTGATTGTCCCGTATCATGTCACACGCCCCGTCGCAGCCAGACACGTCCCCCCCGCCCCGCTCCGTCCCTACAGCCAGCCGAGTGCTTGTTTTGACATTCAGCGCAGCAACAACAAGACGCTGGCAAAGGCGGTGGAAGCTGGTGTCGCCGTGGCTCCTCGGATCGCTGCAGCTCAAACATATGCAGGGGTTGAAAGCCAGGTCTCCAAGGTGACGAGATTATTCTGAAGCAGCGCAATCGAGTGATTGACACGTTATCTTAAACACATTAAGATGTCCCATGTCAGGGTTCCTAAAATAATTATTCTGCTACAAAAATAGCAACAGAAAAATCATGCAATCAGAAAAAAAAAAAAAAAAAAAAAACCTTTCATTTCCCGTTGCCAGGACCTTAGCAACAGTTTTGACACAGGAATGGATGGATTAATTCAGAGTAAGAAGAAAACGCTCATTAGCATCAACAGAAGGCGGTATTCATCAGGACGTGCCTCATTAAAACAACAACAGAAATACAGTTGTTGCACATGATAGGGCTGTGAGGCATGTTGATATTTAAAAGATGAAGTATTTTCACATTGTGTCCTATACGATGTTCATTACACAGGACACTCTCAAGCTGATGTTGAATGTACATCAAAAAGTGCAATACTGTCCTTTAAATTTGAAGTGCATTTGCTTTCTGTTTCGTGATGAATAAAGCAGGCTTTCTAAGATATCTCAGATGTTGCAAAGGCCACAGGAAGCTTGAGAGGTGACTGCTGTTAACCTGGGGAGCTCCTGCCTCCGTGGCGCAAAGACCTCTGGGTTCAGCGATGTGAAAGGGAAAGCCGGAGAGGAGGCTCAGAGGCCAGGCTCGCTCACTCACCAGCATGGGGTCTCATCACTCTCTCCACACTTCTGCTGTCAGAGCTTTTGTTTCAGCTGCATCGCTCGGCCGCAAGGCCCCGCTTCCCAGGGAACTGTGAACTGCTGAGCTGGCTCTTCTGAGCGAAAACACGATCTGGAAAAACGTGGATCGCCAAGAAGAAAGCGGCTCTAGAAAAGACCCAAACCGGGTCTTAGAGGTTTTCTCATGCTGTCGTCGCTCCAATTAGCTATTATTCAGGAATCTTCCCTTAATATGACAGAAACAAGTCAAATAAAAATTAGGTTATCTAGTGCAAATATAGATTTCATGCATCAGGTACAGGTTCCTGTAATAATTAGCCAATTTTTTAAGCATTTTTTTTCACTTGTTTTTCTTGTTTTTTTTTCGGTTTTTTTTCCAGGATCATAAAGCACACCCACTTCCAAATAACCTCTGATGAGACGGGAAAACAAGTCTGATACAGCGAAGAGGCGGCGCAGCATGATACTGCTGGATCAAAGATCTGTGCTGACCGAGGTCGCTTTGGTACCTGTCACAGACATGAGAAATCATTAAGACGAAAAAAGTATAATCTTCCCCTGCAAAATACTCAAAACTTTAAGTTCATGTTTATGTTTTATATCAGGTAAAATTAAAAAAAGTTTAAAAAAAAAAGTTCAACTTTTTTTTTTGCGTGTATTTTACATAATATGTGATAGGGCTACACTAACCAGCCATTTTTGTAGGTACATCTTGCTAGTGTCGGCTATGGACTCTAGCAATACACTGTAAAAAAAATTCTGTTGTTTTTACAAAAAAAATCTGGCAGCTGTGGTTGCCAGAATAATTCTGTAGAAAACACAGTGAACATGTAAACTGTTTTACTGACCAAACAGTAATTATAACAGTGTTAAATTGTGAAATAAACAGATTATCCCATAGATTTGCACAAATTTTAACTGTGATTTGAAAAGGTTTATTTTTGTAATAAAACAGTTTTATCAAGTAATTTTAACCAACTTTTTCTGATGAATTATCATAATAATGCTGTTATTTTACACTTTTTTTCCAGTAAGATTTACTCAGTTTTTGTTTGTTGTACAAAAAAAACTTCATTTAGTCCTACTGATAAATTACCTTTAAATAACGGATTAGAACTGTTAAAATGTCAATTTAAAACATTTTATTAATACTTTCTGAAAAACTGAAATTTGCTTTAATTTTTTACTTTTTACTAATAATTATATCTTTAAATATCTATAAGCATGAAATTTCAACAAACATTTCTCACTTAAAGGAAACTTTAAAACACAAGGAAGCCCAATATAAATTGTATCTATGATAACCTTAAAAAAATAAACATACACTTGCATGCCTTTGAAATATTTATTTTCAATGAAGTTCTCATTTGTCTTTTCTGAACATCATGAAGCACA